AGGCATGCCAGAGAGTTTGTGATGTGGTGAAGGGGTGGGGAGCTGGGGTTGTGACCCCTGGTGGCCCCCTGCTGCTCACCACGCTGGTGCGGGCACCAGAGCAGCAGGGCACATGGGTTCGTGGGCTTGTCCTGCAGAGAGAGGTGTCCACAGGCACAGCTCACCCTCGCTTGAACCTGCAGAGACAAGGGAGTTGAACCTGATTCTGGGCTCCAGCTGCAGTGCAAGCTGACTGAGGTATGGCTCTAACTCTCGCCCCCAGGGAGGCTGTCTGTTCGGGGATTTCCTAGGTTCAAGAACCCCAGCATCTCAGCTCCCGAGTGGGCTGGAAACACAAGCATCATCATGACCCCTGGGGGTATTTTTCATAGCTGTATATGTCACACTTTCCTAGTACCAGATCAAAGAGTCTGAGGGTCAAACAGCTCAGGTGGAGACGCCCCCATAGGACACGGGGACACGCTTGAAGGTCACCTTCCCAGCTTGACATTTTTGTACCCCTGAACCCACACTGTGATATTTAAGGTGGACAGTGGCGAGATTCTCAGGCTCCGCAGGTGCCTTGTGAAACATGGAGCAAAGCCACCTCTTAAACATGGAGCCAGGTAACGGACGCTCCAGAGGCCCTGGATGCTCCGGGGTGGGGGGTGGGGGGTGGGGGGGACTGACGGGCTCCAAAGTTCAAATAGAAAACTACAAAAACCAAAGCTAATAACAGTTTTAATTAAATGCCTCCCCAACATAACATCATAACTATATATCAATTCATGGACTTGAACTCAATTCATATATCAACATTAGTTTCAGTAAACACAGTACTGTGCAAAACTGAGGACTGCCCATATGTAATATTTACCGTGGGCGATGCATGCGTTGTGAAATGTCTACTACAATGGTAGAGGGTGGGGGAGTGAGTGAGTTATTCAAAAGGAACGGTGGCCCTGCTTGGCTTTAAAATAAGACAATGCAGGGCTCAAAAATTGTCATACTGATGCGGTTCCCCTGCCTCCCAAGTAACTGGGTAGAAAATAGCTCCACCCCAGAAGTGCTATTGTTTTGGCATTTGTGAGCACCTGTAAAGAATGTAGCGTGGCATTTGGTTAGGTTGTGGCTTCCAACCAGTAAAGACAGTGTTCTGATACCCAGGAAGATTCAGAGTCATTTCATTCCCCTCCTCCTGGTATTGCCTTACGAATCCCGTAACTCTGGGAAGTTAACTTCTCTGAGCTTCAATCATCTGTAATATGGAGATGGCAATACCCATTTTATTGGCATCTGAGTTCTAGACATGGTGTTTAAGCCCCCCACCCCCCACATACAACAGAGTAAGAATGACATACATTTTGATTATAGAAGGATGAGGCTAAATCCCCACATCGTCCATGAAAACCTGGCTCAAGATCTGAGGGTCTATTCTTACTGAGGCAATAGGCAGACAGTAGGGGTGCATACAGCTGGTGGCATATAGCTCTCTAAATCCGGGCACTGTCCCCTGCTGGTGTGGCTCAGTGGATTGATCGTCGTCCTATGGACTGAGCCGTCCTGGTTTGATTCCTGGTCAGGGCACATCCCAGTGGGGACCAGTGATGTTTCTATCCCTCTCTCCCTTCCTCTCTCCAAATAATCAACAAAAACATTAAAAGAAATCCTGTCGCTGTGAATCCACTTGCCAGTTTCTGGAAAATCCTACCAAGTGAACCCCAAGTGTTGTGAGGGAGCCCTTAGGAATGCAGAAGTCAAGTTAACTGACTGTAATGTGGCAAAGAACTTAGCAGAAACCAGCCAGCCAAGGCCTTCCTGTTTGTTCCCCTCGAGTCTAGCCCCAGTTAACGAGTCCACGTGAATTCGGATTTCCTTAAACAGGATTGTCACTGACTGACGTTAGGCAGCTCTTAACCTTTTATAAAAGCTTCAAATAGGTAATTTTTCTCCTTAACTCTCTGGTCACCTATCCTTCCTTGTCCAATCCATCCGAAGTTCCAGCCAATGCTGAATAGTGCCTGAGGATCAGCTCAGAGCTGACTCAGTTCCCTGGGGCCTGGTCCACACCCCCAAAGATCTCCCTTTCCCACGAGAGAGAATCTCACACAAGCAAATGGTTTTGTCTTTTTTAAAATCCTCCCCCGAGGATATTTCTTTCCATCTGTCTTCAGACAGAGTGGGAGAGAGGGAGGGAGGGAGGGAGGGAGGGAGGGAGGGAGAGAGAGAGAGAGAGAGGAAGAGAGAGAGAGAGAGAGAGAAACATCAATGTGAGAGAGACACATCAACTGGTTGCCTCCTGCATGACCCCAACCAGGGCCGGGGACTGAAGAGCAACTGAGGTACATGCCCTTGACCAGAATTGAATTCTTTGGTCCAGGGGCCGGTGCTCTAACCGCTGAGCCAAACCAGCCAGGGCAAGCAAATGGTTTTGATGTTGATCCCCTCGAGAGTCAGAGTAATGTAGGGTATAGGGGTGGGGGTCAGAGATTTGAGGGGAGCAAACTTCAATGCAAACCCTGGCTCTGCGAATTTTTAGCTGTGTGACTTTGGGCAAGTTTTTAAATCTCCGAGGTGCAATTTCCTCATTGGGAATCTGAGGATGATAATAGTATCTACTTCTAAGGGTTGTTGGGAGGGTTGAATAAGAATCTGTATGTATGTACGGTGTCTGGTTTATATGTGCTCAATAATATTTGCTATTTAAAAAGATATCTATAAAGAATGAACTCAAAATGGATTAAAGACTAAAATGTAAGACTCGAAATCATAAAAGTCCTAGAAGAAAACATAGGTAGTAAAATCTTGGACATTCCAATTAGCAATGTTTTTTCTGACATATCTACTCAAACAAAGGAAACAAAAGAAAAATAAACAGGACTATTTCAAACCCAAAAGTTTTGCACAGCAAAGGAATCCATCAACAGAACAAAAAAACAACCTACTGAATGGTAGAAGATAATCATTAAGGATACATCTGATAAGGGGTTCATATCCAAAATTTATAGACTCATACAACCAAAACAAAACAATCCAATTAAAAAGTAGGCAGAGGACCTGAATAGACACTTCCCTTAAAAGGACATACAGATGGCCAATAGACATGAAAAGATGTTCAACATCAGTAATCATTAGAGAAATGCAAAGTAAAACCACAATGCCTAAGATATCACCTCCCACCTGTCAGGATGACTATCATCAATAAATCAACAAGTGCTGGCAAGGATGTGGAGAAAAGGGAACCCTCGTGCACTGTTGGTGGGAATGCAGACTGGTGCAGCCACTGTGGAAAACAGTATGCAGGCTCCTCAAAAAATTAAAAATGGAACTGCCTTATGACCCAGCAATTCCACTTCTGGCTATATATTCGAAGAAACCTGAAACACTAATTCAAAAGAATACATGCACCCTATGTTCATTGCAGCATTATTTACAATAGCCAAGATATGGAAGTAACCCAAGCGTCCATCAATAGAGGAGTGGATAAAAAAGATGTGTACAAATATACAATGGAATATTACTTGGCCATTAGAAAGAATGAAATCTTACCATTTGTGACAGCATGGATGGACCTAGAAGGTACCGTGCTAAGTGAAATAAGTCAGACAGAAAGACAAATACTCTATGATTTCACTTATATGTGGAATTTAAAGATTAAAATAAATGAACAAACAAAATAGAAACAGACTCATAGACACAGAGAACAGACTGATGGTTGCTAGAGATGAGGGGGGTTGGTGGTCTGCGTGAAAAAGGTGAAGGATGTAAAATGTACAAATTGGTAGTTACAGAATAGTCATGGGGATGTTAAGTATGGCACAGGGAATATAATAAATAATCTAGTGATAATTATGTATGATACCAGATGGGTACTTGAAATATTGGGGACCACTTTGTAAAGTTTCAGGTGTATGTATAGCATATCTAACCACTATGCTGTACACCTGAAACTAAGATAAAATAATATTGAATGTCAACTGTAATTGAAAAATAAAATAAGTTCTCTATAACCTTTTGGGAGCCCAGCAAGGTGAGCAACAAATACCTTCTGGGAAGGTCAGGGAAGTGACTAACTGCACCTGGAAGCAAAAACTTTTGCCACCCAGGGTGGATTTCTGGAGCAGGGAGGTTGCACTGATCTCGTCTGGGAATCTCCATTTGTAGTTGCACATTCCTCCTAAGTCCTTTCCAATTTAGGGAAAGGAACAGCAAAGGGACCCCATGGAAGCAGTTAACTCATTGTGTGACCTCGGGCAAGTCACCCACCCTCCTGGGAGACAACATTCCTTTATCAGTAAAGTGGGGGTCATAATACTGGCCACGGGATACACTCGCTGTGGGATCAGGAAAGATCCCTCAGTGTGAAACATTCAGCAGAGTGCCTGGCGCAGAGTAAGTGCCCGTTACAATGTAGCTATTACTGTGATCATTAGCTGATTAAGACACAAGACTGCTTTGTATATCTGCATTTTACAGAAGGGTGCTGGGGAAAGACATTTCTGCCTCTCCTGCCTGCCGGGTCAGCGCTCACTTCAAGCCTCCAAGTGGTTCAAAGCAGCCACTTGTTCACACGCGGAGCAAATCCAGGCCCCTTGGATCTGCAGCAAGGAAAAGCTTTCTGTCTGATCCCTACCCCTCTCCGAAGGCTGATTTTAAAAAAATTAACAATGTATGTGTAAATGCGTGCACACATGCTATTTATTTATTTTTGGTTAACGTTACATTGAGGTTTTGATGAAACTCAGCCTGCGCACACTTGAAAAGCCAACAGGGTCGTTGGGCAGCGAATAAAGGTCCCGGGATTTCCCCGAGGGGCTGCGGAGAGTACAGACAGGAAGCCTGGGACCCAGCGCCTGACCAGAACTTCCTCGGGGGAGGCCGGAGCCCAGCACCGGCATCCTGCCCAGAACCCTCCGGAGCGCGCGAGCCCGAGCAGATGCCTGCTCCCGGGGGCGCGCTGGGAGAGGGTCCCTGGGCCCGACACCGGGTCCGCACCCCGCAGGCAGAGGAGGGAGGTGGAGGCCTCCCCTGGGGAGACGCTGACACTGTCAGGCTGGAACCTTCTATTCCGGCCCAGCCTCTTCCCCCCTTTGCTGCGCCCAGGAGGGAATTCAGAAGGGACTTTCCAGAGAGCGTTTGCGGGCAGGGTGTGGAAATGGAATAAAAGCATATGCAAATCGGCCTTCGAGTGCTTTCCTCCACCCCATCCAGCAAGGGCCTGTCTCCAGAAGGATGCCCTTGCTCCAGACACTTGACAGCTCTCCTTCCTTGGATGGGACCGCGGGCTGAGTGCGGTGGTAAAACCCCAAACCCGGGCAGGGAGCCATGCCAACGGGGTGGGCTGGCTGGGCAGGAGGAAGTAGCAAAACGAGGAGGGGAGGACTATGGCCGCATTGGGAAAGATAAAGTAAAACGAAATTTTAGCAACTTGCTGTAGGTATGAGCTGGGAAAAATAATCGCTACAAGCTGATTTGTTATGTACTTATCTCCCGTCTGAGAGGCAGCAGGCTTTTGTGCGGTGGATTATTGCAGAGTAAATGGCACGTTAAAGATATAATCGAGATGTTAAGGTGTATTGAATGAATTAGAGTTAAAGTAGGTGAGACTCTTGTCATGGTCTATACAGATAACAATTTCAGTGGCTTGGAGATATTTCAGTGCCTTAGTTAAGACGAGGCTCCATTTCCCAAAGGAAAATATTTTCAACCTTTTTGTTATTTTTCAGAGTGGGTAGGGTGTGGTTAGGAAGTGCTGTCGAATTTATACCCACGATAAAATAATATGCTTTAAACCCTGGGGATGTAGACTGTGACCTCTATTTAACAAGTCTTACAATTTTTGCAGCGATGCACAGGACATACAGTGTAATTTGGGGGCTAGGGGTTGGGGATTATGGCTGCTATATTTTGTTTGTTGTGTTTCTATTCTTGATCACATTCGATCCTGTCCTTTAAATATACAAGTTTTGTTGGTTTGTTTTGAAAGTAATCTTTTTTTTTAACACACTGAACTTGACTTGAATACCCATTGGGCAATAGTGTAGCTTTTCTTTCTTGAAGGTTTAATTACTGTATCATTGCATTTTCTTGTCATTCAGGACCTTCACATTCTGTGTCCATGATTTCACTGGCCAGTCTATCAGGTTTGCTGGGTGGCTTGCAGCGGCCTGGGCTGTCAGCGTGGGCTGGGCGCTGCCTGAGTCCTCTCTTCAGGACCCACCAGGCCTGCGCCTGGACGGGGCACTTGGTCATCCTCTTCCCTCTGGATTCCTATCCACCCACTTTCCCCACGGGCCCTGCGGAACTCAGTGTTCCCTTCTCAGTGTAACCTTTGGGCTAAATCTGTAGCGAATATATATTTTCTCTGGCTGTCAGCGATTTATAGTCTTGGGTGTGGTCCCTAAAGCCAGCTTTTAGGCCTTTTGAGTTCAAATGGTGACCGCTCCCTCCGGTTGTTGTATGATCTGGCAAATGTTTCTCGTTTTGGTCTTGGCCTCGGTCTTAATCATAACAACAACAACAACAACAACGAATTCTTTTTATTTTAGCAATAACTGATGAAGTCTTTTTATGATTTACAATTTGCAAAGCATTTTCATGGGTCATTTCATGCAATTCTTCCAGAAAGTTTGTGAGATTAGTAGAGTGAGTAGAATTGGCACATCATGGGAACTTATTAAAAAGTTGTTGAATGAATGAATTATATCCATTTTACTGCCAAGGAAATTGAGATTCAAAGAGGTCAAGTGACCTACCCAAGGTCGCACTGCCCAGGAGGGACTCAGACTCAGATCTCCTGACTGACCGGCTCTGATATATTGTTTTACATGGTTTTAGTTGTCCTTCTCAAGGAAAGCGTCTTTGATTCTACAATAAGGGATGCTGGGAAAATGCCATCAGAGGGCTCTACTATCGAAGGGGTGCAGAGAGCCTTGCCTACCCCTTTCTATGGATTTTTCTTAGGTCCCTTGTTCTGCAAGGAATTTGTATCCTTAGGACATGACTATTTGGATACATTCCTTATTAGAGATAGAAATGCAAGGTCATGCTGAAAAAATGACTGTTCTGAATTTTTAATATTTCTTGGAAGTCTGAGCATAAAACTACATAGATCTTAAGGAAAGCTAATACCAGAGTTTTGGGTGTGGAGCTGAAAATTTTTCTCTAGTTCTAGCTCTTAAGGTACTAGAGTCACACAGTGCCACCATTTTGGTAGGAGAGGGGGTGGCTGGTGTGCAGGGACCTGCAGTTGCTTAGCCTACAATAGCTGTTACCAGCTGTTCCCACCATTGGAGGGCATGCCACCCCGATCAGCTCAGATATCAAAATAACAAGAAAACAGCCCCTTGTTCTACCAGCCGATAGGCACCAATAACAGCATTCCATCTGCTTGTCGAGGCCTTCAACCTTGCAACACCAGGAACAGAGGGCTGGAAGGAGAATTTCCCTCCTAAATCTAAAGCTAATTCGCAAAGAATGCCCGTGGGAGTCTGCCCAAGGGCCTTGTCCTCTGACTGCCGTACTTGGAGATTCAAAGCTTTGGCTGTGAAATTTCTCCAGAAGAAAGCTGCAAAAACAATTCTGGTTACTTCTTTCCTGAACTGATACTCCTTCCCTCTCCAAAATGCAATGGTATCGCCATCAAGGTGGCCTCAGACCTGTTGGTCTTTGCCTTCATGGTTTCTGGGCCTTGTTTAGACAGGTCTTTCTTTTTTTTTTTTTTTTTTTATCCTCACCTGAGGACATTTTTCCATTTCAGATAGAGCGGGAGGGAGAGAGAGGAAGAGAGAGAGAGAGAAACATCAATGTGAAGGGACACATCGAGTGGTTGCCACCCACACGACCAACCAGGGCCAGGGACAAACTGCAACCGAGGTACGTGCCCTTAGCGGGAACCGAACCCGGTCTCTCTGTACCGCAGGTCGACGCTCCAACCGCTGAGCCAAACCGGCCAGGGCTAGACAGGCCTTTCTCAAGGGAAGGCTATGAAGATTGTTTCTTACATTTACTTACGAATTTGATAGTTTTACCTGGTATCACATTGTTTATTTGCAGTTAGCTCTTTTATCTATCTGAAGTTATATGGTGCGAGACAGACAATTCTTTACTCAACTGGTGTCAGTCTTTCCCTTCACTCTTTTCTAAAATAAACTTGTGACTCGGGCTAGTTTTAGATTTCTGGAAGAGTTGCGTAGGTAGTACAGAAGGTTCCTGGACCCCCTCTCAGCAGCTCAACGATCTGAAAGGAACATTCTGCATGGCCCTAAATTCCCACTTATACACAGACGTCTCTCTAGAATCTCACTTTTCTTTTATCGATGGGTTTTCTATTTTCTGCCCCTCGGTCACATGTTTAATTAATTAATTTTATTTCTAGAGAGTTCACAGTTTCTGATGGGGAACCTGAGATCTCACAGGGCTTTTAAGAAGTCCCATACGGCCCTGGCTGGTTTGGCTCAGCGGTTGGAGTGTCAGCCTGCGGTCCAGAGAGACCCGGGTTCGGTTCCCGCTAAGGGCATGTACCTTGGCTGCAGTTTGTCCCCGGCCCTGGTTGGGTCATGTGGGCAGCGGCCACTCGATGTGTCCCTTTCACGTCGATGTTTCTCTCTCTCTTTTCCTCTCTCTCCCCGCTCTATCTGAATAAAAAATGGAAAAATGTCCTCAGGTGAGGATAAAAAAAAATTTTTTTAAAAAAAAGAAGTCCCATATGGACTTCAGGCAAGTTAAACGTGATTAACCTTGCTTATGGATGCTGCTACTGCTGAGGTGACTGGCCAAGGGGGGACACCTGATTTCCCTAGTCCACAGGGAAGGAGGTCAGCACTGGCGACCTGCCTCTCATACAGCATGCCTTATTCTCTGAGCACAAGCTGTGGACACAAAAGGACAAGGCTCTGCAGCAGGGTCTCTTCCTCAGTACCACTGACAGTTGGGGACTGCTGAATTCTTTGCTGTGGAGCTGTGCTGGGCCAGTATAAGATGTTCAGCAGCAGCCCTGGCCTCCAGCCACTGGATGCCATTAGCACTCCTGACAGTCGAAATTATCTGCAGACGTTGCAAATCATCTGCTGGGGGTCAGCCCCCATCCCCCTCGAGAACCCCCAGGCGAGTCAAGCTGCCCGAGTTTGTGCCTGGCTCCACTGTGTAGTAGCTGCATACCTCCATTTCCTCCTGTATAAAATGCAAATAACGGTGCCCGTCTCCTAGGGTGGTCCTGTTAAAGAACAAAATTCAACTGAGTAGATCTGAAGGCCTAACTGGCTTTGTGAAGTAATTCACCAGTGGGGCAACCTCCCATGTAGCAACTAGAAGGGTGCTCCCAGGGGTTGTACCAAACGGAAGGTCTTTGTAGGCAGAAGGGTTGGCAGGGGAATTAGCAAAAAAAAGAGAAAAACCCTGGCCGGTTTGGCTCAGTGGTTAAAACGTTGGCCTGCGGTCCAGAGAGACCCGGGTTCGGTTCCCGCTAAGGGCATGTACCTTGGTTGCAGTTTGTCCCCGGCCCTGGTTGGGTCGTGTGGGTGGCAGCCACTCAGTGTGTCCCTTTCATATTGATGTTTCTCTCTCTCTCTCTCTCCCCTTCCCACACTATCTGAAAAAAAAAAAACAGAGAGAGAGAGAGAGAGAAAGGATTGTTTTTAGTCCAGGTCATCTTTTTCTTGGGGGGGGAGGGGTTTTATCTAGCAGATTTCTTCACTAGTGGGGATCAGGAAATTCCGGACTGATTGCTTTAAAATTCTGCTCCAGGGAGAGGCTGAGACCATAATAAGGTTAGTTGTTGACTTTTGGCCTGATGACGTAGCTTAGCAAACGTGACTCCATTTTGGTCTGTTGTTTACCTTTTAAAACAATCCTGAAGACCAAACGAGCAAATACACATGAAGCACTCAGAACAGACCCTGGCAGGACAGACCTAGCTCTATGGTAGCTGTAACTATTATCTTAAAAATTCTTTACACTTGATGTCACTCCTAATAAACACACAGGCTTCCCGCTTTTCTACTCCCTCCATGTCTTCCCCACCACGGAACGAATGTGTTTAAACCAGAGCCATATTCACCAAAAGACTGCATGTTCATGAGATGGAGCCCTCTTTCCAGCGCTCCAGAACTGTTAATTAATCAGCTCCCAAGATAAACTCATCCACGCTGTGTGTGAATTTTATTTGCAGCTACAGAAGAGTGATTCCATCTGGTTAACAGGCCTTTAAGTGACAATCCAGCTCCGAGGAGCCGCAGAGAGGCCCAGAAATGAGTTCCAAAGCGAGCCGATAATGACGGCGGGAAGATGGAGATCTGGGGTAGGGAGACTGAACATTGACTAGATTCATTCAGGCGGTGGTCTTGGGAGCGCTGTGTTCGTTTGCCATGGACACACACCATCATCTTGCAGCCCAGAGGGGGGTGGATGCGAGACTCGCCTTCCAACAATTCATGTTACTTGGTCACCCAGAAAATTTTTTCCCCTTTTGTAGCAGCAGCTTTTGCAAAACCACAACGTGTGTTATTCTTAAGCTTGCCCAAGAGCCCCTCCAGTGGAGATGGTGATTTTTAATAAGATTGTTAAATGTGTGGGAAGATGTGGCTGATGGGGGGTAGGGGGGTGGCGGTGTCTCTACCTTTGTCCAAAGGGCTCACTTCCTGCACTGAAACCAGGCCTTGGTTTGAACAGCAGTGAGGAGAGCCCTGGCTGGAGCTGGAGGGCTGGAGGCCAGGAGGGCTCCTGGCCTTGGTGAGGCGTGGTTGGTTCACTCACTCAGCCAGTGCAGCTGGGTGGCTGGGAGCCTGGGTTCTGGAGCTGGAATGATCAGGTCGAAATCCCAATTCCTTAACTTGCTGGGTGCGTGGCCTTGGGGAAGTCACTTAACCTTTGTCATCTGCAAAATAATGTCACTGATAGTACCTACCTTGTAGCTTTGTTGTGAATTTTAAGTGAGATAATCCATTTACATCTTAGCTATTATGATCATGGTTATAATTATTATTTACTCGAGTGTCCTCCACGAGAGGGGCATTGTGCTAGGGGTGGGGGACACATTCAGGTCCAAGATGACATTTTGTGACTCCAAAGGGAAATTAGAGTGTTTTGACAGGTGAGCATCGAAGGCTATGGAAGTGGGAGGACTCAGAGAAGTCCCCAGAGACTTAGTGGCCACAAGGGGCATGGATCCTAGACACAAGCAGAGCAGGTACACAGTGAGAGAGACCGTCAAAGCCATGGACGCAGGGCCGCGGAGCTCAGAATGTTCTCTCCAGGTAGCAAACAATGACCGGGTTCGAAGTGGGCAGGTTGGAAGGCAGAGCGGAAAGGCTGAGCCACCTCTGCTGAGTGACTCCAGCTGCCACCGTGTTTGCTGACTCGGGGCATCTTCTGCAGCAGGCTCTGTCTGGTTGCTGGCCCACTGGGCCCCGGGCCTGGAGGTGCTGGGTGCCCGGTGCCTGGTTGCGGTACTTGGCTGAGTTGTATTTTATTACATCTCTTTCCTCGTTGCAAGAACCCACCTCCCGGTTGCCAGGGGATTTTGTTTTACACGAAGGGCTACTGAAGTTCAACACCAAGACTGCCCTGCAGTTTCTTACTGGCAAGGACCTGTTGACCCTGCGTCTTTAACATTGCCTTGTCTGCTCCAGCCTTCCTCCTCAGGCTGAGACCTAAATGAGATCATTATTTTAAAAATTTAAAACAAAAAGTGCTATGTAAGGGACTTTCAATTTTATACACACACACACACACACACACACACACACACATACACACATATACACAGCAAGCACATACAACAATTTGGGTATATCTTCTTTACAGCTTCTGGGAGTAAATTGGAAGCCCAGGACTAATGTAGCTTTGAAAGGACTTTAGATTTGCAAATTCATACGAAATGAGTAACTTTCCCAGAAGCCTCGCGTGCTGGCCACCCACTCCTCTGCTCTAACTCCACAAAGCACGAGCCAAGTGCCACAGTGGTATCTGCTTTTGGCAAAATCATATTTATAATAACTTTTGGGTCAGTTCTTATTTTTTCCTTTAAATAGAGGGAACAATACATAAAAGAGAAGGGGATGAACTATTAGAAATAGAAATGAACAGCTTCTTTATCATAATGCACCAAGAGCAAATCAGGTGTGGGATTTCTTTTCAAAGGACAAATTATACATTTACCCAATAGAGTTACACAGCCGCGCTGTCTGGAAAGAGAACTCAGCGTTGTATTGATTCGGTACAACGTGAGTTTCCCTGGGGCGCTGCATTGGGGAGATCCTAATAATGGATATAACAGCAGTGTTGATAAATGTAAATGGTCAACGGGTTAAAGGCCTTCATATTGTTCTTTTGTTTCCATGGTTTCTGACTACAAATCTCATGAAGTTGACAAAGTGGCTCACACCACCGAGTTCGTCCTGGTAAATAGGAAACAATTACTTTGCTGAGTTGCTCTGTCCTGTTCTCTGTTCCAGCTTAGAAATGGTTCTGGCTGTGCCACTTACGTTCCTTTTGACCTGGCTGCATTGGCAATGCAGACTGAGGAAGCGGAGGTTGGAGGGTCTGGGTGACCTGGTGTAGGTGGGGATTAAAGGCAGGGAGCAGACCACGAAGGCTGAAATGGCCCACCCCCAGGTTCTCGTGGCCTGTGATGTCCCTGTCCACGCACTCAGGGAACTTGCAAGGACCGTATCTGGAAGTCACGGTGGTCTTCAGAACCACATCATCAGCCAGAGAGCGGGAGAGGGACTGTGCATATCAGAGACAGAAGGGAGTCTTGCAGAGTTGTTAATGGCAAGGAAAGCGTGGAATAAATTATCACAAAATAATTACTCAAGAAACATCTTCTAATCATGTACCGTGTGCCGTGCACTGCTGTTATGGGGAGAGCGTGAAAGGGTTGAAAGTATCACAGCTCTTTGGAGAATTTCAGTCTCATGTGACATCCACTGATGGATTCAAGACCCTGAAGGATCAAGTGTTACATTGCGTGACCAGATGAGGGCTACTTGGGACTATTTCTTGCCCTCCTCCCAATTGTTCACCACCCCCAGCCAGAATATTTTAAGAAATGTAATCGGGATCACATCCCTTCCCTGCTCCTTCTGTCTTCTGTTAGGGTCAACTCCAAATTTCTAACAAGGCTGATGTGAACTGGCCCGTGGCAGCCTGGGACTCCCTCACCTCTGTGCCATCCCTGGTCTCCTCACGGGCCCCAGCAGCAGGGTCCCTGTCTGTCCCTACTTGTGTGGCCAGTCACGTCCCATTTCAGAGTGTTTGAACATTCTGTGCCCTCTGCTCGGCCTCCCTCTTACCTGATCCTCACCAGACCATGGCCTATTTATCCTTCAGGATGTCTCCTCAAATGTCTCCTCTTCCTACCCACCAGCACGTCACAGGACCCTGTGCTCTTGGGTAGCACTTCCTGCCTTTGAGCTCACTTGTTCTGCGTGATTATCAGTGAGATCTCAGTCTCTCCTGTTATTTGGTGATCTCCATGAGGATGAGGGTGAGAGTCAAGTTCGTCTTGTTTTTTTGCTGTATCCCCAGCGTCTGTCCCAGGGTCTAACTCATGCTCTGTGAATGAGTGATGACTGGCGAATGGATGAATGGATGGCTGAATGGATGGATGTGGAAGGAGAGATTCCACTGAGTCAATGCAGCTGTCCTGTCAAAGCATCTCCTCCGACTAGGGCACTTGGTATGAGGTACGAAACATCCTGTTTGTCTACCCTCACATTCCCATACTTCTAGAGGGCAGGGGTTGGGTCATAATAACCTTTTCATCTCCAGAGTTGGGCTCATACGGAAACTCCATGAAGGTCTGTGGGTTGAAGAGCAACTTGTGCATGAAGGCGGACTCACCTGGATTTTAAGGCACGCTTGGGTTGAGGATGAAGGAAAAGCAGATTTACATACTCAAAACAGCAGTAAGAGTTGGGATGCAAAACAAGATTAGGGTTAAAAAAAAAAAAAGCTGAGAACCCGAGTTAGAAAAATACCCACTAGTCACCAGACACAGCCTGACAGGATGTACTCACACTGCAGATGGAGGGTTGGGGTGGGGAGGCCGCTTGGAATTTCCCCAGCTGAACTCAGTGCCGTGAACGACGGCTGTCTGTCTCAGCGCGCTGTTGGCCTCGGGAGGTCTGTGCATTCAACACATATTTATCTAGCACTGTTCCATAAATTCCCAGCGTTGGGACTGATCATTGGAGGGCATGGAAATGGGCTCTTGGTGGTGAAAAAAAAATCTTACTCTTTTTATGTGTAAAGCACAGATACACATCCAGTACAAACACGTACACATATATATGCAGGCACTATACCTATGGCATAAAATTTCATAGTGGAGGTGGTTAGGAGATTGGCTCTTTCTTTTTTTTTTTTTTTTTAATTCTTACCTGAGGATACTTTTATTTATTATTTTTTTCTACCTATTTTCAGATAGAGTGGGAGTGAGGGAGAGAGGAGAGAGACAGAGAGAACCATTGGCTGGTTGCCTCCTGCACGAGCCCGACCAGGGCCGGGGACCGAACCACAACTGAGGTACGTGCCCTTGACCAGAATTGAACGTGACTCTCCTGTCCGAGGGCCAACGCTCTAACCGCTGAGCCAAACCGGCCAGGGCAGGACATGGGCTCTTTCAGGAGATGATCATGAACAAAAGGTCGAGAACAGACCTCGTCCATGTCGAGCACTGTTCGGGTCACAGTGCCCCCCCCATGGGGCTTTCATTCCCGAGGCAGGTGGGCAATAACTACGTGAGTAACGCAACTGTCAAAGAAGAAGAAAGTCTACAAAGAAAAGCAGGGCCAGGGGACAGAGAGCTTGGGGTCAAGTGCGGGGCTACCTATGTCTGTTTCAGGGAGCGTCAGGGGATTCTGAGGAGGTGACACTTGAGAAGAGCCTGGAGGCAGTGAGATGCAGTGAGACTGAGACAGCAAGGAGACCACCTGGGCAGGACAAGAGCCCGGAGGCAGGACAGGGCCCAGATCCCACGGGTGTGCGTGCAGACCGGGCAGACCGTGCTGAGGGGGTTGGGTTTTGCTCTGAGTGTGAGGGAAGCTGTTGGAGCACGTTTCAGGGGAGTGGCAGGTCTGATTCACCTCTGGAGTAGGTCCCCCTGGCTGCTGTTTGCAGGGCGGCCGGCAGGGGCGGGATGCAACCAGGGGGCCAGCCCGGAGGCTGGTGCTGGGCTCTGGGTGGGCCGCAGTGATGGCCTGAGAGAGGGTGAGAGCGTAGGCTCCCATTCCTGAGGAGTGGGGCCCGCTGGGATTGCGTGGAGGCTGTGAAAGAAGGAAGAGTCCCGCGTGCTGAGGGTCTAGCCTGGGCCGCGGGGCTGCACTGACTGACATCTGGAGCCGAGGTTGCGTGTGGAAGGAGCCCGTCCTCCCGGGGACCAGTCCTGGAGCGGCGTCCCCCTGCCCGCTCTGGCCCCTGCTGTTGACACCAGGCTCAGCATCCATTTGACGCCGTCTTCCACAGTTACCTGTTTTTCCACCTTATCTAGTCTTCCAATTCATTCAGGGAAGAAACTATTTCGTGTATGTTTTAACTTCTCCAAGAGGCAGGCCGTGGAGTAGAATGGTTAAATTGTTAGTTGTGTGTGCTGGGGTGAGCGCTTTAACTGCTGAACGTCTCCTGCCCCTTCCCTTTGTCTCCATCCTCTCCCTCGTCCTCTCCATCCCCCCACCCCCTTCCTCCTGCTCCTCCTTAACTGAAGTAAGTACCTTTTTATTTTTTGGTCAAGTGGAGAGGGTAGCTTCCTATGGCTCTGCAAAGTGAAGTGAAATTTGCCTATGAAGCGCCTTGTTTGGGTCTGGCGAGCAGTTGGCACTTGGTGATCTTGATGTTGTGTGGCTCCCCCCTTCCCAGCGGACTTCCGTCTTGCTGGCTCTCAGATCTCAGGGTCCTTTCGGCTGAAGCACTTGAAGATGAGGGCATCACACCACCCCCCTCCCTCCATGTCTTGGTTTTTCCATCACATAAAATGGGGAAAAAAGCTTAACGAACCCAGCTGGTGTGGCTCAGTGGACTGAGCATCGCCCCATGGACTGAGGTCCTGGTTTGATTCCTGGTCAAGGCACATGCCCAGGTTGTGGGCTTGATCCCCAGTCGGGTGCGTGCAGGAGGCAGCTGATTGATGTTTCTCTCTCACATTCATGTTTCTCTCTCTCTAAAATATCAATAAAAGCATTTAAAAAACCACAAAACTTAATGAAGAGAAGAAACAGTGGAAACCCGCAAATGTGGGCGTTTACATTGTATATTATGTTGTGTTCCAAGGATAAAAGGCCACACTGAGGCAAGGGTGATGGAGAAGCCATTAGGTGCCACCCGAGGCGAGTGAGTGCCCACTGGCTCATTTGAGGAGGTGTGACGGATGCTGCCACATGAGCAATACAAGACTACCTAGTAATCACCGAATTGTGCGGATCCAACCAGAATACCAAGTGCCTGGGGCTTTGGCTTAGGGCCGTGGATGGATGGAGCATGAAGCCTGGCATAGAACAGAAGGAACGGGTCACACAGCGACAGATATAAACAGACTTGCGTTTAGGCAGAGGTGACCACAGGTGGCTGCCTCTCTCCTCTGCTGTGACAGACTTCATGACTCTATCCTATCGCTCCTTCCCGATTCTGATAGGGAACTAAACTTCACTGAGTGCTTACTGCCGGCCACGCACTGCGTCCTACCAGCATCCTCTTGCTTCCTCCCAACGCCTCAGTAGCGATGAGAACAGCCTCAGAGGGGTCAGTAGCTTGTGCAGGCTTGTTTCCAGCTGTTGTGCTTTACCTCCTCCAGGTGTGCCCAAATGCTGCTTCCGGATCCTTCTACCTGAGGCATTCATTCCCACCTGCTTTATTCAGACTGTGGGATTCAGGTTCATGTTGACACTCATTTGTTTGATCATTTATTTATTCACTCACCACTTAAACAATACTTTTCTGCCTCTACCATGTGCCAGGTATAGTCTTACGTGCCGAGGACTCAGTAGTAAATAAGACACAATCCCTGCTTGGAGCTACACTTAGGGGCAGCATCACTTCTTGGCTGGGACTCTCGGTAGGTGGGAAGACTCAGAATTTCTGTGACTTAGGACTAAGTTGGTGCTCCCTTCCCTGTGTTGAACCAGAAAGCATCCACATTGATGATGGAAATCAGCAATAATTTGCAAAATGAATTATGATGCCCCTGCATGTACCCTGGACTAGAAATTGGGTCACCTGCTGTCTTTTACTGACGGGACTGACTTAGCTATTTGACCTTGGGCCTCAGTAATAACTCATGGTCAAGCAATGCTTTCTCATGCAGTAGGTCCCTTTGCTCATCCAGTGCCTGGTTGGAAGGAGAAGATCTCTGATGTGCAGAGAGACTGTGTGGGCTGCCTAGTTCTCATCGCTGGTAGGAGACGAGCTGGGACTAGAACCCAGTGTAACTTCTAGCTACTTGTTTTTATGATCTCATCATACTGGCCTCCAGGACTCTGTCACACGAGGCCAGGAAGTGATGTCATGTACCAGGTGTCCATGTGCCCAGGTTAAACTGTGGGGTTCTATTACTACAGATGGAGGAGCAAACAGGTGTTAGGGGAACAATTAGCAGCGTCTACCATAGACGGCCTCTCTGAGGAAGGGACATCGGAAGTGAGAACCTCAGGATGAGTTGGTGTTGAAGAGAAGGAAGAGTCTTCCAGGCCAGGGGCGCAGCGCGTGGGAGGGCCAGGAGGCGGGGAAGGCCAGCTCTAGTGCGTGGTGATGTTCCGCGATGCGCATGACCGGACTTGGCACCGGGAGGCAGCTGCTCCGGGTTCACCTGGCTTTCGTCTTGTATGTTCCAGGGCGCGGACGGACCTGGACTGCGAGGAGGGGGCTCTGTGCTGACTCTGGAAGGCCTCTGTGTGTCCTCAGCTTTGAGAACTGAATTCCATGGGTTGTGTCAGTGTCAGACCTGTGAAGTTCAGTTCTTCAGCTGGGATAGCTCTGTCATCGTGGACTCGAGGGACACCCGGGAGAGCAGCCCCAAGGTCCGCTGAAGAACTTGGAAGCCTGGAGACAGAAGGGCAAAGTGCCGGGCTCTGAAGGAACAGGGAGGCTGGGTTCTTGAGAAAAACACTCATTTAATTGAGAGAAGACTTGAATTCTACGCTGAGCAGGGTTCCAAGTAGCTAAATGAATGTTCCTGGTGAGTCATTCTTGCTGCTGCTGCTGTTACAACTAGTTTACATTTATTGATTACTTACCACGAGCAGGTACGGTGCTAACTTCTTTCCACACTGTTACAGACTCTTGGGGGAAATGACTGTAATGAAGCTGAGACACCCGGCACTACCATGCAGGGATTTCCCCCCACCCCCTTCATGGGATCAGATGGAATTCATGGAATGTGACAAGTATTCTTTGGCATCCATGGATGAGGTTACTGGTTCCTTTTTAGGATGAAAAACATGGGTACATTCCTCTTATGGTCCCCCTCTCCCTTTATTTGAGTCTCAACTTCCTTGCCTGCTGTAAATACAGAAGGGCTACATCGTGTCTTTGTATTCCAAACAAGGAAGAAGAGTTTGTCCTTAGACTCTGCCCCAGTGTCTCCCAGGGAAAGGGATACAAAGGTTGTGCAGGCTGCCCCATCTGCTGGCACCGTCAGCTGTGTCTGTGGGTCGTGCCCTTCTGCTGTCTTCCTCTGCCACCCGGTCAGCTGGGTCTGCTCCGAGGCTGGGATTTGCTATGACAATGATGATTTCCACCTTTAGACACAGGGCTGGAGGCTGTGTGCGTGCTATCTGCACTTTAGTAGGCTTTCAATTCGGTGGGGAAGAAGGAGTGTGCTTTGTCTTTTTTTAAATTTTATTTTAATTTTCTACAATTGATTTTTAGAGAGAGACAGAGAAACACTGATCGGTTGCCTCCTACGGGGGTTCGAGCCTGCAACCCGAGTGAATGCCCTGACTGGCTATCGAACCACCAGCCTTTCGGTGCGTGGGATGCTGCCCAACCAACTGAGCCACACTGGCCGGGGCATGCTTTGTCTTTTTGAAAACTCATCTTTGATTCCTTACTGCCTGTCGGTGTCCTGAAATGTCCATCCCACTGTAGTCCACAGAATGAAAGTGTGGACTAGCCCAGAGACACCCAGCCTGTGGATCCTCACGCTGTTTTCTCAGTGATGTGTCTGTTGAGTGCGGGCTGTGTGCCGGGCATTGTGCTTGGGGCATTTTGTGAATGATCACCGTGAACCTCGCACCAAACCTCATCTGGGAAATGAGGACAGAGTAACAAAGGGATGTCCTAGGAAACAGTGTAACTACATTCTGTGGCTGCAGAGGGGCGCTTGGCCCTTCTGAAAGCCCCCAGCATGGGTGTGGGGTGTGGCGTGCTCTCTGGGCAGTGCTGATCACATCAAGGACCTTACCCGCCCCTCTCACTCTGCCCACTTCCGACCTTTGCTTACTAGACCCTTAGCAAGTGACTCATTTCAGAACCAGAACACCAGTGAAACTCAACTGAGACCAGAGATCAGTGTCATCAGTCCTAGATCACTAGAGAAAATTCGGAATTTACACCACAGGCTTCAACGCTCTGTGTTTCGGATCATCTCGGCTGTGAACACTGACTTAGACCCAGAGTTCTGACTTAACGCAAAAGACTCGTCCTTATTGCAGATGAACTCTTCCTGAAGCAAACCTGGTAGCCAAATGTGGACTATGCACACGTGTGTGCGCGCACACACACACGCACACACAGCAAATAATACAACCTATAAGAATGTTTGGCCAGTTTGGTTCAGTAGTTACAGCGTTGGCCCACAGTCTAAAGGGTCTCAGGTTTGATTCTGGGTCAAGGGCATGTACATAGGTTAGAGGTTCAATCCCCGGCCCTGGTCGGGGTTGTGCAGGAGGCAACCAACTGATGTTTTTCTCTCACATTGATATTTCTCTCTATCTCCTTCTCCCTCTCTCATTCTCTCCCTCTCTCCCTTCCTCGATATCTAAAATCAGTGGGAAAATATCCTTGGGTGAGGACTAACAACAACAAAAAGAAATCTTCATTTCCTAAGAGGATTTATGTTACAATTCCACTAAGTAATACATTTTCGGGGGGGGGGATTTGAGGTTGTATTTGCTTTGTCTAAACTCATGTTATAAAAGTGGAAAAGGCAGAATACAAACGTTTGGATTATATGATCCCATTTATGTAAAATGATGATAAAAGTATGTAGGATAATGTGCATTGCAAGAGGTACATCGATTTACCCAAGGGGTTACTCTGGGGCAGAGAAAGTTGAGGTGCCCTTTCCTTTCTTCATCTTTGTCTCTATTGTTTGATTCTTTTGCCAAGCATATTTAATTAAAACAATAAAGTTACTGAAGGACATTTCACACATAATTGTGATGAGACCAGGCAGTGCTGGATCTGTGCGTTGGTTAGAAGTTACGCTGCGGAGATGCGTTGTGAGAGAGGAGGGAGGTTCCTGGTGTGCTCAGTGAAGGAGGGAGGCACAGGCAACGTGCAGTGTGTGTGTGGGGGGGTGTGCGCGCGTGTGTGTGCACGCATGCGCGCGTGTGTGTGTGTGTGTAGGTCTGATGGGTAGCGGGTGATTTTTTCCCTCTCCTTAGTTATACTTCTCTGCCCAAATAAGGAAAAAAAAAAAAAAGAACCTTCAGTATATATGCCACTTTCCAAGAATCAATTCATTGTGTAAATCAGTGGTTTTCAATGTGTGTTTCCTGGATGAGCAACATCAGTATCAACCGGGAACTTGTTAGAAGTGTAATTTCTCAGGCTCCTCCCATGACCTATCGAATAGGAAACACTGGGAGTGGGGCCCAGCAATTTCTGTTTTAACAAGCCCTTTGGCTGACTGACTAATGCACAGTAACGTTTTAGAATTGGTGTCAGTCAAGGGACAGCCCCCCTCCACTAAACTGCAGTGTGGCTGATGCTGATATGAAAGGAGCTGGCCCTCTCCTGGAAGTGGACATTCGGGGATTCTGTAACACTTACCTCTGTAAAGTCCATGAACAGTAGGACCACAAACCCTAAGTTTACAACCAGTGATCATTTCCACCAGCAAATAGTAGGTCTCCAAGTTTTTCCAGTGCAAATGTTAGGTGCATAAAGTCACCTGAAGAGGGTGCTAGTTATGGCAGATTCCTGGGTCATGCCCCTGACCGGCAGACTCAGCATGTTCATCACCCCTGAGGATTCCCAGCAAGGAATTTCTTTTTTATTTATTTTTGTTTTTTTCTTTATTGATTTTTAGAGAAAGAGGGGGAAGGAGAGGGAGAGAGAGATAGAAACATCGATGAGAGAGAACATTGATTGGCTGCCTCCTGCATGCCCCCCACTGGGGATCAGGCCCACAACCTGGACATGTGCCCTGACCAGGAATCAAACCAGGACCTCTCAGTCCATGGGGTGATGCTCAGCCACTGAGCCACGCCGGCCGGGTGACCAGCAAGGAATTTCTAAGGTAACACTTTGAGCAACAGTTTTAGGCTTTTTCGGACATTTTTTTCCTATACCCACTTACATGTCTTCTTCCTTCTCATCCTTTTCCTTCCTGCTGTGATGGACAGGGTCTCTGAAGCAGATTCATCATCCTTTTGGCTCTGTGCTGGGAAGGAAACCGGTCCGATGCTCCTGTAGTGGTGCTTTGAAAGTAATCATCACCATCGTAATCATAGCCATGGAAGTATTGCTTTGCCATCTTCAGATAACAGGGGAAGGTCATGATTTATCAGCTCAAATTGATGGCACACGGTGGGAAACTGGACACACTGCTTAATAGTCGCTGCCCATCCACGTTACAAGGTTGCTGAGAATCAGTGACTTAGGGACACAGTGGCTTCCCAAGTCCTTGTAGCAGTCAAGCCGTTGTTAGTCAAGGTGGAGACTTCTGTAATAGGGTTCTCTGGAGAAATAGAACTAAAAGTGGGGGGAGGGGAGATTGAGATTGATTTGTTATAGGGAGTCAGCTCATGTGATTATGGAGTCCCTCTGGACACGTCCCAAGATCTGCAGGTGAGTCATCTAGCTGGAGACCTAGGAGAGCTGATGGTGTAGTTCCAGCCTGACTCTGAAGGCCTGACAACCAAGGTGTGTAGTTTCAGTCCAAAGGTTGGCAGGCTCAAGACCCACAAAGAGCTGATGTTTCACTTTGAATCCAAAAGCAAGGAAAAGCCAATGTTCCAGCTCAATAGTCGGGCAGTAAGTGGCCCCACTCACCAGCAGGGGTCAGTCTTTTTGTTCTAGTCACACCTTCAATTGGTTGGATGGGGCCCACCCACATTAAGGAGGACCATCTACTTTATTCAACCTACTGATTTATTTATTTTGTTTTTGTTTTTTTTAAAACCTCACCTAAGGATATTTTTACATTTATCTTCAGATAGAGCAGGAAGGAGAGAGGGAGGAAGAGAGAGAGAGAAACATCGATGTGAGAGAGACACATCGATTGGTTGCCACCTGCACAACCCCAACCAAGGTACGTGCCCTTGGCTGGAATCGAACCCGAGACTCTGTTTCTCGGGCCAACGCTCTACTGCTGAGCTGTAACAACCAGGCCCAACCTATTGATTTAAATGTTAAACTCTTCTGAAATACATCCTCAGAGCCCGATGTTGTGGCTCAGTGGATTGAGTGTGAACCCATGGACGGAGAGGTCCCAGTTTGATTTCCGGTCAGGGCACATGCCCAGGTTGCCGTCTTGATCCCCAGTGGAGGGGCGAGCAGGAGGCAGCCTATTGATGTTTCTCTCTCACATTGATGTTTCTGTCTCTCTCTAAAAAACTCAATAAAAATATATTTTAAAAAATAAAAAGAAAATACATCCTCAGAGACACACCCAAAATGATGTT